GTTTACTTATCCACAGCATGTGTTACCCCACAGCTTGCATACAGAACCAAAGCACACAAAGGGGATATAAAGTGTACAAAGAGTCTGGAGACTTGAGGACACTTTGTTTCTATTTTTCCTTGAAAAACCTTTTCAATTTACTCTGGTTTTAAAAAAAGTGTGAAAACAATAATATCAGCAATGAAGAATAAACCTATTTCTATCCTAAAATGATGCTTAATAACTTTGGCATCAAGTAACTGCTCATACCTGGAGCTGTCCCTGTGGTGAACACAGGAGATTATTTGCAATTTTGTATCTAAAACTAAAATCCTACTATCAACTGGAATGTCTACAAACAAGGAATTGCATACTACATGAATATTGCAAAGGACATGAAGATATTTATACTGTATTGATAGTTGTAAATCAAATATCCAACATTTTAATGTGAATGTGATTTTTTTACAAGACATATACACAAAATCATGAAATACACAACAATGAACATGGCTATTTCTGAGTAATGGAACTACAGGTTGACACATATATTTGTATTTTATGTGTATATGGTTTTATTGACTATATAATGGATACCACATTTATTTGATATACTGTATTTGTATGTATTATGATGGTAGCACCATATTAGTTTGTTGTTGTTGTTGCTAGATGACCTGCAGTCAGTTCTGACTCCTAGTGACACTGTGTGCAATGGAAGGAAACACTGCTCAGACCTGGCCCATCCTCACAATTGTTGGGTTTTTTGAGCCACTATGCTCATCTTGTCAAGAGTCTTAATTTTCTTCGCTGACCATCAACTTTTCCAAGTATTATTATTTTATTAATCATTTATTATTACCTGTCACTGTGGGGTAAGAATTGGGCTGCTAACTACCAGGTTGATGGTTCAAATACACCAGCTGCTCGGTGGGAAAAAGATGAGGCTCTCTGCTCCCATCAAGATTTACAGTCTCATATTTACAGGAGCTATGAGTCAGAATTAACTTCATTTTAAAGTATATACTTATAATTATTTAAAATATATTTATAATTTGTATGATTTTTATATACCATGCTATTTTTGTAGTATATGATTTCCTCCTTCTAATTATTATTTTTCCCTACTTTCTACAGGGAACATGTATTAATTTTATGTTTATTTTAACCTGCAGATGAACACAAATTGCCTTAGACTTCCTTGTTTCACTATGAATTTTCTTTGGAAATTATGTGGGAAAGGATATAGAGATGCTTTTGAGATATGCCATTTTAAAATGATGGATTATTTTGCACTACATGGTTTTGCCATTAAATACACACCTAAGGTTTAGTCTTTGAACCTTCTTACAGAAACTTCATTTCAAAGAACTTTCCTGTACTCATGCAAATGTTAGCACACTATAACTTCTTGGGCAAAAACAAATCCCTACAGAATATCAGGAAATTAAATAGAAAGTGATCATTTTAAAACAACTACCCAATTTAGCAGCTTATTCAATACACATTTAAAAAAAACCAAATTAAATCTACTTCCAGTCAATCAAGGGTATCAAGAGATTTCTAACTAAAAATACCCTTCCAGTTCTCTTCTTCAGTGATGTCTAATTGGACAGGCCCCATTCATCTCTATTTGATTATCAAAAGAAAGGATTTGTTATGACGTAGCTTCCTTCTCCTATTTATAACGTAATGCTGGCTAGGGTCACTGGGTTAGATTCGACTTGATGGCAATGAGTTACCTTAATTAGTGAGAATCTTGTTTTAAACAAGTAGACAACATCCAGGATTCTTTAGTAGTGTTGCTGTTATGATTTTATTAATGCTACGTCCTAAGAGATTAATTTTGAAAGACTTGCAGTACAAAATCACTTTTTGAAAAAAAATCTTTCTTAGAGAGACTTTACGGTCAGTGCAGGTAGACAGAGCTGTTGCCAGGATACATTTTCTGTAGTGTGCACCAGTCTGGCCTTTAAGAAGAAAAAAATGTGCTTGGAGTGGACAGGGCGCATGGTGACCCCTGTAAGTCGGGGAAGACCTGCGCTCCTTATGCTTTCAGTGGTTGAGTTTCGGCGAGTGCATTTTTAGGCCTTTCTTTTGAGAAGTTTCTGAGCGGACTCAAACATCCCACCTTTTGGTGATCAGCCAAGCAAACGGACTGTTGAACCATGCTGGGTCTGCTTAGTATGGCCACACTCATTACTAAAAGCCAAAATACTTCTCTCCTGACAGTTAAGTAGTCATGACTCTGAACCAACCAACCCCTCTTCCACCTCGCTACTCTATCCTGGTTCCTCTCTCAGTACCCATCACAGACTGTCCGAAGTTTGGAAACTAAAGATGTGGACAGGAAAAACTCACTTGTAGCCCTAGAGCTGGTAATTATTTGAGCCCACGATACTGTGCTGTACAGATATTTTTCTCAGTGATCACTCTCCGATTAGCCCTTACACTTAGGGCATCCCAATGCACTTTCAGAAAACACAGCCATCTAAGATCTCTGGCTGGATTTTTCAACAATGCAGGCTAGTGTAGGTGTGTTGGGTAAAATAGGATGAATATCTTTTATCCATGTATTAGTACAAACTATTATATGAAACTGGCCATCACACCTATCAAAAACATTACCCGACCTAGAATCGCGTCACACACATATGTACATTTACCACTGAAACCCTTGTGTTACATGCCCCAAAAAATATCTGTCAGTGGTAACCAGACTGGCCTTTTCAAATCTCATCAAAATGTACAGGAGTAATGGATTCAGCGGAATGCAGATTAATCAGACTAAAAAAAAATTCTCTAGGACTGTACTTTAATTGGAAGAGAAAGCATGTGTCTTATAGAGATTCCATTTTTTTACTAAAATGTTTTGTGCATTCATAATTCATAGTTCAGCTGCCTCAATCCCTGACTCCGGAGATCACATGGGTAACATGTGAATGGAAATAAACCCTGTAGGTAAAAGAAAGAGGAATTTGGACAGAGATCAAAGATTAGCTTCATTCCATTCTTTCCTTCCACTTTTTACTATCCCATTTAAATGTATTTTATGAGATTTTTTTTTTCGGTCCTAGAGGAAATGGTGAACTTAAATCAGATTTGGTGTTTTCTCTCAATTCTGTTTTCAAAATCCATGTGATTTGATCTGCTCAGTAGTGACTTTAGATTGCATTCTCAATTGCTAGGAAACTTCAGTAATAAATGTAGAATGTACTGGCTGGATATTATGTATTTTAAAATTATCACTGAAATTTTGATTTAGGCTTTAGGAACATTTTTCTAGAAAGCAATATAATTAGCAGTAATATATACTTGCATACATACATTTTTTGAAGAGAAATTGATTATTCAATGCAATTAATCTTTACTTAGGCAAATAAGATTATTTTTAATCATTAGGAATTAAAAACTGTATACTTTACATTTTCTGGATTAATAATCAGGTGAAATGGTAGATTTCAGTAGAGTCAGCTCCATTCCTATTCAGTCTATCTAAAGGTTTCTTATTAATGCCATTGCAAAATTTACCTACTTTAAAATACTCTTTTTTTAGCCAGTTTTACCCTAAAACATGAGATAATTGTAAAATGACTTTTGATTTCCACTAAACTAGTAACTAAGTGAATAGAAGTACTTCAAGGGAGTGGGAAAATTAACTCGCCCTGTTCATTGTTAACCTCAAGTGCTACCCTATAATTAAAAACATGCGAATTCTGGTTTATTGGGTGAATATTGCATCATATCTCAAGATTAAGATGATACAATTTCATTGTTCCAAAATTGAAGCAACCTGACTTGATGTTTCATTATCATTGTTTGGTGCCTTGATAGACTTTTCTTTAGTTATAGTAGTACTCTCGTGTAGACTTTTTTAAAGTTATTGTTAATTTATTGCTAATGCTAATTGACTTAAGATAGAAGATGAGTGAGCATTTTATTTTATAGCATACTCTGCTGTTTATATATGAAATATATGTGAGGGGTCTCCAAAAATTTTGTGGAAAAGGAATTTAAAAATATGCAATTTTTAAACAAATGTGTGGAGCCCCTTAGTATTTTTTGCATTTATCAACTGCCATGTCCACTCTTAGGTATATGCCTGAAACAATTAAAAGTGAGAATGCAAATATTTACAGACCAGTATTAATTGTAACACATTTCAAAATAGCCCCCAAATCAAAACAGCCTAAATGTTCATCAATAGAAGTATGGATAACTAAAATGTGATACTACATACAATGAAATATTACACAGCCTTAGAGAAAAATAAAGTCTTAATGCATGCTACCACATGGATAAACATTGAAAACTTTATGATAATTGAAGTAAGTTAATCACAAAAATACTACATTCTCCCATTTACATGATATCTAAAATATACAAATGTATAAAAACAAAAATGTATTAGTGGTTAGGGGTGGCAGACATAAGGGAAAATAATTCAATACTTAGTGGATACTGAATGGGTAAAGGAATAATTAAACAATACTGTGAACGTAATTTATGTCACTAAACTGTACTTATGAAGTAGTTGAAATGTCAAACATTTTGTAACTCATATCTCTTTACCAAAAGTTTAAAAAACTAGTACTAAAAATCTAATGTAATGGTTGATTAGTTATATGGTACATATAGAAAACATTCTATGATAAAATCAAGGCGGATGTTTGGGATAGGAAATAAATGACAAGCAAATGACATCGTTCTCCTTATTAACATTGGCTGAATGATATCCGTGTTTTTCATCTGGATTTATATAGACTGTGCTAGGGAAGGCAATACTACATACTCATAAAGAGCCAAACACTGCTGAGAATTCTTAACTGTTGGATCTTCAGCTTTAGCTTTCTAATCGGTATAATTTAGATTAGAATATGAACTGACCCGAAGAGTTACTGTTTTAAAGAACTTAGCACATGGGAAGTGCTGAGAAAAGACAAAGAATAAAGGCTGGATTCGATTCTGGTAGTCACTGTCTCCTGAATTAACACTTGGAGATGTTCTTCTGTTTCTGGTAGGCTTTGGTCACTTGACGAAGCAATTGATGACACTGGCTAATGGACATGTGGTGTTGGCTTTAGAAGGAGGACATGATCTCACAGCCATCTGTGATGCGTCAGAAGCCTGTGTAAATGCCCTTCTAGGAAATGAGGTAAGCAAACTAAAAACGCAAAAAGATAGGAATGAAGAACTTGGGGTGCATATTTAAATATCATTTTTCTTTTTTAAACCTGTATATTCAGAAAGCACAAGTGTCACCATTGAAAAATAATACAAGCTTTAGCTATGAGAAGGCCACAGGTTCCAATTCTGCACATTATGACTTTTGTCCAATTATAGAATCCATACAACACTGCCCTCAATCAGATTATTGACAGCTCAGCAATGAGCAAAATTAACTAATGAGGAAAGAGGAATGCTTTATCTACTGATTAATGAGACACTAAGTTAAGAGAAAAAAAAGAGGCATTTTTCTTGAGATTTTCTGTAGGATGGTGATAGTTCAGGGGGAAAATATAACTTAAAAAAGAAACAGTATTTGTGAAGTTATTTTCTGTTACCATTTAAAGATTCTTAAGACCAAGAGATAGGTACTGTATATACTCAAGTATAAGCCTACCCAAATATCAGCCGAAGCACCTAGTTTTACCACAAAAACTACATTAAAAATGTGTGAAAAACTCGGCTTATCCACAAGTATATACAGTATTGTTCCATCTTCCATCAGGAGTCTGAAAGAGGTTGAGAAATCCATCCAAAGTCACAGAGGCAGAGTGCAGTGGACCCTAAGATTTAAACTTGAATTTAAATAGAGGTCACTCTCTCTCATTCCCTCTTTTTCCCACGTCACACAACTAAATTACAATAACTTTTTCTTGACCAGTTTGAGCCTTTAGATAAAATTTCCACGAAGTTCACTTCCAGAGCATTGTATAATTTGAGATCATTTAAATGTTTGTACATATATGTTCATATTGCCAATTCATTAATTTTCTAATGTCTGCATAGTAATGACTATTGCATATATTTTTACTTTCTTCCATGAACTTGAAATATGACTTTGTTTATGCAATAAACATGCACAAAATCCTTTTAAAGATCTATCATTCATATTGTTTTAACAGTAACTCATGTCATTCTACTTATGAAAAAGTACTTTTTCTTCTGCAAATTGAGTGCATAGCAATTTCTGTCATTGTTACCTTATACATTTGAGAAGTTACAAAATTAACATTTTGCCATATTTTAAAAATAATATGTATATTTTCAATTGGAAGAAATGTTAATGAGAAAACGCAAAATTTGCTTAAGTAACGCAAGGATGTAATTGTCTGAGGATTACTGGCAACAACTGGTTTCTGTTTCAGATCATACCAAATTCAAAGTGGTTAAAATTTTCAAAGGTCTTAGGCTCTTTTTGAGATCTCTAGAAGAATAAAGGCAAACAGAATGTTGGTTTATTTGTGGCAATGAAGGAGTGCAAACTAAATAAATGCCACTTACTTCTATCCAACCGCGTAGTGTTGGGCTCTTCTGTTTGAATATCATGTGATTTTCTAATGTGGGTTTATATTCAGTATTTTCCAATTACTTACTTGATTTTAAATATAGAAACATTTTAAGAAGACAATGGTTAAAACACTTGGCTGCTAACCAAAAGGGTGGCAGTTCAAAACCACCCAGCAGCTCTAAGGGAGAAAGAGTTGGCAATGTGCTTCTGTATAAGGTTTGAGTCCAGAAAGCTCTATTCGGCAGTCCCCTCTGTCACGTGAAGCTGTCAGGGGTCGGCATCAACTCCCTGGCACCCAGTAACAACAACAAATAGAAACATTTTAAGGAAGCAAGACTGGTTTTAATATTTGCATTATAAAGGCTTATGCCAGATGTGCAGAAAATCACAGTAGATTGTGGATTGTGGCTCCACGGATGATTGACTTGCCCAGAAAGAAATGTTACCCGGCTGCAAAGGCAAACTACTTTTCAGCTCTGTGGAAGGAAATCACGGATTTCACTGGCTCTGTTTGAGCACACCCATTCAAATGAGAACCTGTCTCGATGCTTTCCTCTCTGCGTTCGGTCCAACTCGGTTCTTTCAAGGGCGGATTTCCAATGAGGATAAAGTAATTTCACTTGTGAACTCTTTAATGGTGACTGAGTTTCAGAAGAAAAGAAACTCATTGATAAGGAGTTACATGCTTTTTTCGTAATGTACCTGAGTATTGGAAAAGCAAAATGAATGCATTTGTGCTTCACGGTATGACCATCACTTGGCATAGCGGTTGTCATGTAATTGCACATGCTATTCCTAGAAATAAACTAGACTGCTTTCATACAACAATTAGTAACAATAGATGGCCATCCCTTGGATTAAGTTTTGAAAACCTGTCCCTTTTCGCTACAGTTTTAGAAAGACCAGAGAAAAATGGATAAAAGTGTTAGTGGTCAGTCATCAGCATGCCCATGTGGGTGTGCAGATTGCTAAAAAAAAAACCTATTAGTGAAAACTGAAATTATTATTTTTATGACATTGTCATGGATTTTAAATTTCTGGATGCCCTAGAGTAATTTTAGCTCAGTTAATCAAATACCCTAATACATATTTTAATCAGATGCCCTCCAACACATTGACTGTTTTCAATGGCATGAGTACAACTCCAAGTTGTTCATCAGGGACTAGAGAACTTACTGCCATCAGGTCGCTTTTGACTCACAGCAGTCCCAGGTGGGACGTCCAAGCCTGCGCGTCCTCCCAGGCGCAGATCCCCTCCGCTTCCTCCCACAGAGCAGCTGGTCCGGCAGGCAACAGTCCAAAGTGAAGCCAAAGAGGCTTAAAGAATCTATATGTTTTGTGTATGTTTCCCTTGAATGCCTGCCTAAGCAATAATATGGAGTTGCCACAAAATATTTCTTAAGGGTGGTAAGTCGATTTTGTACTCCGAACTTTAGCAGGCAAATTTTGGTGTGTCTGCCTATCAGTACACCGAAGAACAAAGTTAAGGGAAAGAAATACTTTTTGATGAAAAACTGAAGAAAATACAAATGTGCTGTGCATTAGAATTCATTTTTTTCTTAAGAAAACGAAAATGTAATACTTGAAACAACTCAAGAAACAGTTCTTCTCACTTTCATTGTAAATGCAATTTATAATCAAGGCCTGATTTTGTGAGTGTGTGTGTGTGTGTGTGTGTGTGTGTGTGTTTACCAAGTTCAAAGTTCATCATGACTAACAACCTAATGATATTGAAGTTTTAAATTTCATTCTTCTATAAAAAAATAATATTGCATGTACCTCCTCCTGCACCCAAAGACTCACACACACAAATACATACATATCATTTTTTTCAGGAGTTTTGTATGGTATGTTCTAGGTAAGAAATAAAAAAGGACGTCTTTCAAATACCAATTATTGCAATTTCAAATCCCAACTTCCTTCCAAGCCCCCTTTGTAAGTGATTAATACAGCTATTATAACTTATTATCTAGGATTTTACTTTTACAAATAAAAAAAATGTCGTAAAGCGTGAGCTTAAAATATTGGCAAGGTCTCCTTTGGCTTCTCCGTGTTGAACACGCAATTGAACTCAAATTAGGAAGGTCAAGAAGGGCCTTTGTGAGGGTCTCTGCACTTTGTCAGATGTATTTATTCATGTGCAGAGGATTAGAATTCATAAACAGTTTGCCGATTTTTTTGAAAGCGATTTCTTTCTCGTGTTGTTCTTGGCCAGGCCCTGTCAGTACTATAAAATGCTGCTTCATATGGCTTATTATCAGCAAAATAACATGTATTACATAACCAAAAGGAATTGTAGAATCAGCAGGGACTCTTGGCTCCGTATTGCAGTGTAGTGTGCGTGCAAAGATGGCTTTGCACCAAAGATGGGTATGCACGAAAGATGGGTACCCAAAAAAAAGACATTTATTTTTTTCCATATAAAAAGTAAGTTAGCTGAGTGATGTATCATAGACAGGCACTTTCTTCTATTTAAATATACTTTATCATGAATGTAATCTAGTTAGCATAACATTTCTTAACTATTCTTTTAAGAAATATGCACGGGGTCACTCAACATAATAGTCTATTGGATTAAAGCTAATTTGAACATGGTACAGGAAATTCCTAGAGGCAACTGATTTTGAAGACATACCAGAAGTCCACTTTTTTCCTTATTCTTGGCAAAGTTCAAACTTAAATTTATCAGTACAATCAGTTTATGATGAATATTCTTCTACTTCTTTGCTGAAGCACTAGGCACACCAGCTTGGGATCTGCAAGAAACTGAAGTGGCGATCCAAATGGGAAGAATTGTTCGGTTGCGAGGATTGACACCAGGGTTGCTGATGTGACTAGCCAGTAGTTTTTTAGTTAGTCATTGAGGCATCTGCTAGATTCACTAAGAATCTGAATTTGGTCATTTGTATGTGTGTTGGTTGGCAAACAATGTCATAGTTGTTTTAAGGATACATTTGCCTACTGTTAATGCTAAGCCAATTAGAAGCACCCGGGGTTCCTTCCCCTGAAAGAAATTGCCTCAAGAGGTGAGAAAAGCTTTAGTGCTTGGCATTCCTATGAAATCTAAAATGAAAACATTGGAAACCTCCCGGCAGGTAAAAGCAAGGCAAGGCCATGTAGTAGTAGGGGTCTTGGTAGTCAGTTTAGAACATGGCCATTAAAAGACCACCTGTCAAAACAGAATAAGACAGTTTTAAGCTTGTTAGAGAGAGGGAGGGGTGTGGGAGGGTGGGGACAAAAAACGAGTTGGCATAGACCTGGAAACTGTTGAGACGTGCTACAGCCTCTGGCACGTATAGCGCTGTACTTCCATTTGCAAGGAACAGCTTGCCTTTTGATTGATTTCCCATACATTCTTTTCAAGTCTAGCTTCCTCTCTTTCTCCTTTTTTTCCCTTTCATCCCCCCTTCCCTCCCTCCCTCCCTCCCTTCCTTTTTCCTTTCCTTCCTGCCTTCCTTCTCCTCCCCCACCCTTCCTTAGCCTCTCTCCCTAAACCCCACCCCCCTTTCTTCTCATCTTTTCTTTGTAATAACTCGGTTACCACATGTTGAGTAGAATCAGCTGCTTTCTTTTGACTTGTACTTCAGAAGCAGTGGCTAAATTCAGCGATTATGTTTGCTGATAATCTTTCTAAACAGACT